TATTAATAGCTCATTAATGAGATTAATCGATGGCTCCCTTGAGAGATTAATCAATAGCTCATTTGTGGGATTAATTAGTGGCTTGTCCACGAGATTATACAAATGGCTCAATTAATTGATGGCTCATTTGTGAGATTAATCAATGGCTCGCTTGAGAGATTAATCAATACCTTATTTATGGGATTAATTAGTGGCTCCTCCATGAGATTAATTGGTGGCTCGTCTAGAGATTATTCAATGGCTCGATTAATTGATGGCTCATTTGTGAGATTAGTTGATGGCTCGCTTGAGAGATTAATCAAAGCTCATTTATGGAATTAATTAGGGGCTCATCCATGAGATTAATCAGTGGCTCATCCGCTAGATTATTCAATGGCTCGATTAATTGATAGCTCGTTTGCGAGATTAATCAATAGCTCATTTAGGAGATGGCTCATCTGCACAATTAATCTAATTCTCGTTTGCGTGGCCGCTTCAGGTTTGCGGACGATCGGCGTCATCACCAAGCTGGACCTGATGGACGAAGGCACAGACGCCCGGGACGTGCTGGAGAACAAACTGCTTCCCCTACGCCGAGGTACCACGAAGGAGGAAGGTGTCACCTCCCCTCTGCCACGGGGGGCACGGCGGCCGTTGGAAACGAGCCCAGGGGTCTGTAGCGAGCGCCGCCGTGTCCTCTTGCAGGCTACATCGGCGTGGTGAACCGGAGCCAGAAGGACATCGACGGGAAGAAGGACATCAGGGCAGCGCTGGCGGCCGAGCGGAAATTCTTCCTTTCCCACCCCGCTTACCGGCACATGGCCGACCGCATGGGCACCCCACACTTGCAGAAAGTCCTCAACCAGGTGTTTGTGGTTTCCTTCCTGAGTTTTTCTGCATTGCTGTCGTGATTTAGGGCCAAAAAATCCTTCTGCAAGTGATAACGCTTGGATGTGATGGAAACATGGCAAGGCCACTGTCTAACCATGGGTGCCTGTCGTGATTTAGGGTTGGGCTGGCCATGAAATCCTTCTACGAGTGATAACACTTGGATGTGATGGAAACATGACAAGGCCACTGAACCCTTCTACAAGTGATAACGCTTGAATGTGATGGAAACATGGCACGGCCACTGTGGCACCATGGGTCTGTTGTGGTTTAGGGCTTTGCTGGCCACTAAACCCTTCTACAAGTGATAATGCTTGGATGTGATGGAAACATGGCAAGGCCACTGTCTCACCATGGGTGCCTGTCGTGATTTAGGGCTGGGCTGGCCACTAAATCCTGACCAGATGCTTTCTATTCACCCCTCTTTTCCCCTAAGAAGAGAAGAGAAAAAGGGAATAAGGGAGAGAGACTTTATGGGTTGGAAAAGAAAACGAACAGATTTAGTGATACACTAATACAGGATAATAATGCAAATAGGAAAATAATTAAGTATATACAAGTATAGATAAAAAAATCAATATAAAGTCCTTCTCCAATGACGATTACTCTGCCAGAGGCTCTGGGAGCAGGGCACTGGAAAAGTCCCAGTCCAGACCCAGCAGCAGTGGGAGCTGATGCAGGAACACAGGGATCAGGATCGGAGGCAGATGAAGCAGCAGGGATCTGCTTGGACTGCGGCCATTGCAGGAGCAGAAGAGAGCAGAGATGGGGGTCAAGACCCTCATGATCCTTCAGGTTTATCCTGAGTATGACGTATGTGGGGTGGAATACCTCATTGGTCAGTTTTGGGTCTCTATAGGTGCAGATCCGGGATCCATGGTGAGACAGCGGCCTTGCCACGTTTCCATCACATCCAAGCGTTATCACTTGCAGAAGTACACACTGGAAAAACACCCAAGCTCAGCCACTTAGAAGAGACTGAGCTGAAAAATAAAATCCTTAAGTAGAAAATCAGTCCTGGTGAGCCCAAACCAGGTCGCTCGCTGATGGAAAAGGGTCTCACAGCTCCGTTTCTTTTGCAGCAACTGACCAACCACATCCGGGAGACGCTGCCGTCGCTGCGCAGCAAACTGCAGAGCCAGCTGCTGTCCCTGGAGAAGGAGGTCGAGGAATACAAGAACTTCCGCCCCGACGACCCCACGCGGAAAACCAAAGCTCTGTTACAGTAGGTTCCTCGCTCGGCGCTGCAGGAAGAGGAGGGATCCACCTCTCCCAGCCGAAAAAAACGCCGAAATAAACTCGCTCTGCTCCTCGCACGAGGCTGATTCGTCCCAGATGGGGTAGCCCCGTGGCTGGGGGCTCTGCCAACGCCCCCGGGGCGAAGCTGGCGCCTCAGTCTGGCAGCAAAGCCTCTCCCAGCAGCTCCGTGGGCGAGGATTCAGCGTCTCACGCTCGCTGTGCTTGGGTTTGGGTTTAGAAAGGACGATTTGCGTCCCTCCACCACCTGCTCACATGCAGAAAAAGGGAGATTTTTTGCCTCTGCCACTCCAGAATTGGGAGGATTTGTCCCCAGCCCCGAGGAGCTGCAGCAGAGCTGGTGGCAGTGGGTGTCTGTCTGTCTGTCATGCAGCCATTTAACCCCGTTTTCTCCCCTGCAGAATGGTCCAGCAGTTCGGGGTGGACTTTGAGAAGCGGATCGAGGGCTCGGGGGATCAAGTGGACACGCTCGAGCTCTCCGGCGGCGCCAGGATCAACCGCATCTTCCACGAGAGGTTTCCCTTTGAGTTAGTGAAGGTAAAAACCACCGAGGGGGGCACGCAGAGCCTCAAAATCTTTCAGCTCCTTCATAAGCATTAATTAACAGCTTGGTAATGCAAATAACAGAAATAAAATCATTAATTATTCCATTTTTTACGACCAGGAATGCAGCAATGCTGTAACACCCTGTAATTTTCCCGCCCACAAACCTGATATTGTGATTTATTTCCATTGAAAACTCCCCGTTTGCCTTTTAGTGGGGGGGGGCTGTAATAAATCTTAAGGAGGATAACTGGTTCATTTTCAGGCTACGGGTGATTTTAATTGAGTTTTTAAGTGGCTTTACTTGTTAGAAATTCAGCACCATGCATATATTTCACAGCAAATCACTTTTCTGGACTGTGGAGGGGTGAGCCCTGGTACAGAGCAACCCCATTGAAGCCCCTCATGGATTGGGGACGATGCCGGCGTCCACCCCTCACGATGCTGCATAAAAAAAGGGGCTGATTCCCCCTATAACCACCAGTAAAATAACCTTAAAAGTGGCTTTTGCTTCCTTTTTAGATGGAGTTTGATGAGAAAGACCTGAGGCGAGAAATCAGCTACGCCATCAAAAACATCCACGGCGTGAGGCAAGTGCGGGAGCCGGGTCCTGTTCTCCTGGGGGGGTCGAGCGCTCTTCATCGGCCGGCGCTGTTTTTACCTCAAAAATGCCATTATTTCCCTTTTTGAGGGAATTTCAGGGGTTATCGACCTCCCTGGGTTGTGCTTTAGCAGACTGAGCTGGAAAACTGCCCCCTCCCACCCCTTTTTACCACTAAAATCACTTTTATCTTTCCTCTCGCGCTCCCTTAAAGCGGGGGAAGAAAGGACCTTGAGCCACAGGTAGGGAGCACGGTTTAAAGGACCTGGGACCCATTTGGGACCAGTTTCCTTACTGGGGGAGCGACTGGGATGCTGCTTTGGGTCATCCAGCACCGACCTAATGGGTTAATTAACGACCCTAAAGAGGAGCAGCGTTAATTGCACGTCCTCTTCGTGGACTTCTCGCTCTCCTCAGGTGCAGAGAGAAACGTTTGAGTTTCTTCTCTTCAGCTCTAATCCCAATTCCATTTAATCCTGATCACCACTGAAAAGCTTCATTCCCATTTCCACGCCGCGCTGGGCCCTCGATCCCATTCATGGCGGGGGGAGCAGCACCCAAATTTGAGGGGTTGGGAGATCCCATCTGAGAGGTACTTGGGGGGCAAAACTTGAGCTGGGGCCACCCCCAACACCTCACCTACCCCTTTTTGTTCCTGGTTTTTGGCAGGACGGGGCTCTTCACCCCGGATTTGGCATTCGAGGCCATCGTGAAGAAGCAAGTGGTGAAGCTGAAAGAGCCTTGTCTGAAGTGCGTCGACCTCGTCATCCAGGAGCTCATCAATACCGTTCGACAGTGCACCAGTAAGGTAGCGAACTGGAGGCAACCCAGCCCCTTCCCTCCGTGCTTGAACCCCCCTGCCTGCCTTGTTTTCCCCTCCAAAAACCAAACTATTGACCCCAAAATCCAGGAAATTTGGCTCTTTCAGAGCTTTGAGCCGTCTCTCTGTGCCCTTGAGTCCACGATGCCAAGGAGGAGCCTCCCAATGAGCGGAGATTTTTTGGGGATGCTCGGCTTCCTGCATCTGTCACCCCCTGGGGATGGGGGTGAGGGGCTCCCCAGTTGCATTTTGGGGGGGGTTCTACCTGGTGTTGGACCCAGGCAGGTGGGCAAAGCTGCTCTCAGCCCCTGTTTGCTCAGGCTGGGGTTTCAATCGCTGCTGTGCTGTGCTCTGGGAATGGCAGAAACACGGAAATTAAAGTTTGGGATAGCGGTGAACCCCACAATTTGATTATAAACCCCACAATTCACCAATAAATCCCTGCACTTTGTTGCTAAACCCCACAATTCGATGCTAAATCCCACAATTCAGTGGTAAACCCCACAATTCAGCCATAAATCCCTGCAGTTTGATGATAAAGCCCATGATTTGATGATAAATCCCTGCAGTTCAATGATAAACCCCACAATTCAATGGTAAACCCCATAGTTCATGGATAAACCCCACAACTTGACTGTAAACCCCGTAATTCAATGATAAACCTCACAATTCAACAATAATTCCCTGTAGTTTGATGATAAACCCCACAATTTGACTGTAAACCCCGTAATTCAATGATAAACCCCACAATTCACCAATAATTCCCTGTAGTTTGATGCTAAACCCCACAATTCAGTGATAAATCCCTGCAGCTCGATTATAAACCCCACAATTTGATGGTAAACCCCACAATTCACCAATAAATCCCTGCACTTTGTTGCTAAACCCCACAATTCGATGCTAAATCCCACAATTCAGTGGTAAACCCCACAATTCAGCCATAAATCCCTGCAGTTTGATGATAAAGCCCATGATTTGATGATAAATCCCACAGTTCAATGATAAACCCCACAATTCAATGGTAAACCCCATAGTTCATGGATAAACCCCACAACTTGACTGTAAACCCCGTAATTCAATGATAAACCTCACAATTCAACAATAATTCCCTGTAGTTTGATGATAAACCCCACAATTTGACCATAAACCCCACAATTTGATGGTAAATCCCTGCAGTTCAATGATAAACCCCACAATTCAATGGTAAACCCCACAATTCAACAATAAATCCCTGTGGTTTGATGATAAACCCCACAATTCACCAATAATTCCCTGCAGTTTGATGATAAATCCCTGCAGCTCGATTGTAAACCCCACAATTCCCACAATTCACCAATTAAACCCCACAATTTGACCATAAACCCCACAATTTGATGGTAAATCCCTGCAGTTCAATGATAAACCCCACAATTTGATGATAAACCCCACAATTTGGTGGTAAATCCCTGCAGTTCAATGGTAGACCCCCACAGTCAATGGTAAACCCCATAGTTCATGGATAAACCCCACAATTTAATGATAAACCCCACAAT